CGGCCTCGTTTCCTGACTCCTCCGGGATGGGCTTGAGTCCCTCCTGGGGGAGAAACTCCTCAGCCCCCTCGGCCTCGGCGTGTCGTGCGAGGGCCAGGCCCTCTGCCCCACCAGGACCTCCTGGGCCCGCCCCAGAAGCATCGCCCATGTGGGCAGGGGTGGGGCCCCCGGGGGCCTCAGAGGGTCCTGCCTGATCTAGGCCCGCGGGGACGGGGGCACGGTCCTCACTGTCCTCCTGCACCCTGCCATCCTCTGCCTTCGCTTCGGCTCTGGCATCAGCCTGGGCACTTGTCCCGGCATCAGCCCCTCCTCTTGCCTGGGCCCTCTCGCTCCTGGCCAGACTGGCCTCCCATGCCTCAGACTCGCGAACCAGCCCCAGCATCTCCAGGAAAGTCGGAGCCCTCCCCACCAATCTCAGCTTCCTCAGGGCTTCGTCCAGGGGCTCAATAAGGTTGGCCCTGGTGAGCACCTGCCTCAGGCGCACGTGGTCCACGGAGTCTCTGGCCAGAGCCCCCTTCTCCACGGCTTTCTGCAGCAGGACTTCCAGCCGCAACACGAAAGCCGAGAGGCGTTCGCCTGGCTGCTGCTGAGCGGTCAGGCACTTCACCCGGAGGGTCGCCTGGGACTCAGTGTCCCCAAACACCTGGGTCAGGGCCCCCAGGCAGTCTCGTGCCGTCCTGGCAGGGTTCTCCGCCAGGAGCCCGAGCACGAGCTGCAGGGCCGTGCCTCGAAGGCCTTCTATCAGCCTCCGCCTCCTCTCCCTTTCCGAGACCCCTTGCCACACGTGCAGCATGTCGGCGGTGTGGTCTAGCCAGGTGTCGAAGGAATCCTCCCCCGGGAACGGCTGGTCCCTCCCGGAGAACACGCCCAGGCGCTGGTACCGCACGGTCTCCACCCAGGGCTGGACCGCCTGACTGACCGACCGGAGCCAGCACACCCTGCGCAGCCCCAGCCCCAGGGCGCCGGCCACGCTCTCCACCGTCTGCCCCTGTTGCTCCAGGAAGCGGAACACGCGACCGAGAAACTCCTCGCCTGAGCAACGGGGCACAAAGACCACGCTCCAGGGACCCCGGGGGCCCGGGATCTCCCTGGGGACCAAAGCGTAGTTGACTTCGCGGTCGAGCTCCACCAGGGCCGCGGTGGCGTTGTCCTCCTCGCGGAACACTTTGCCCAGCACGGTAAAGTGGCCCATGCGCCACAGGGCGGCCTCCAGGGCCTCTTGGAGTTGGGCTTCTTCGCAGTCCTCCGGGATGCCCAGGATGAGCAGGCCCCTGCGAGCGCTGACGCCCATCCACCGGCACCAGTCCTGCAGCATCGTCACCGCCATCGTCCGCAGCTTCCACCAGCGCGGGGCTCACGCCACGGACCAGAGACGGTTCCTGGCGCGGACCAGGCTGCCGCTGGCTGCGAGATGGACCGGGGCGGGAGCCTCGGACTCAGAGAGAACTTCCCGGGTCTCCACGGCCTGTGGATACGAACGGGCCGACAGAGAGGTTAACGCCGACCCCCTCCCGACCCCGGCCGCCCGGCTCCCCCGGCGGCGC